TATTTATTTCTTTATTATCTATCTATTTCTTTATTATCTATTTATTATTTTATTATCTATTTATTTCTTTATTATCTATTTATTATTTTATTATCTATTTATTTCTTTATTATCTATTTATTATTTTATTATCAATTTATTTCTTTATTATCTATTTATTAATCTAATAAATCCACATTTATCTCAAGCCTCTGCCTGAATAAAGATCTCGCTCTCCCTCCCAACAGCATCCCTGAGTAAAAACTTATACGACCTGACCGTTGAACTCCGGACTCTTAACCAGCTTTTCAGAAACTACATTACGAGTGAGTCTAATTTGCATATTGCTTGTTATTCTTCGCTTTCTGTCGTTTCATCTGTTTTATGTGTCTGTCTGTTTTTTTCCCTGTCTGTTTGTTAGATTGTCTGTGATTTTGGCAATATGTTTGGTATTCTGTTGATTAGTAATTATATTAATGTATATGTCTATCGGTCTATCTGTCTTTCTGTTTATGTATAATCATGTCTGTTTGTGCCTCGGTTTCATTATCTATCTATCCCTCTATTTATCTGTCTTCCTCTAGCCATCTATTCCTCTATCTATCTTTCTCTTAATCTATCTGTCCGTCTATCTATCTATCTACATATAATTCAGTATATCATTATATAAATTGAGAGTTCAGAATAGAAATGTCGTCCAAGAAGACACATTTATGTTACTCACTTTTTTGAATTTCTAAATTTTTATATAACTATCAACTATCATAAATTATTGTGCAATCATGTCTATCATTACCAATTGAACGGTCATTAATTTCTAAAAGTATTTAATGTGATTCCTATTACTCTTACTATGACTATTGCTAATAACATTACTATTTAATGTGATAACTATTACTATTAATTCATTCATTTCTTGGACTATAATCACCACCATCATCATTATCATCATCGCATTTCCCTGATCATCACCGCGGATTGTTCACGAGGCATCACTAGTCATCACAAGATATCAATAGTAATCTCTCGTAGTAGTTTTTCGCAGCCTGTCAAGATGCGCCGTCATCACTATTATTATTACTATATATATGTATATGAATGTATGTATACACAAATACACATACACGTTCAACCATACCAACAAACACATATACGCATACACAAGCACACACATATACAAACAAACACATGAACACATACAAAAACAAACAAACACACACTTAAACAAACACACGCACACATAAAGAAACAAACAAGCACACACACAAACAATCAAATAAACACCCACACAATCAAACAAACACAAACAAGCACACCTAAACAAAAAACAAAACAAAAAAACTCACAACCAAACACACACAAACCCACGCACCGCCTAATCCTCCTCCTCCTCCCCCCCCCCTTCAGCGCTGTCATGCCCTGCGCCCTTCCATATGCTGGGCTCCGAGTGCTTCGCCTTCCTTCTGGACGACATGCCGTGGGAGACAGCGAGGACCAAGTGCCTGCAGATGGGCGCTGACCTTGCCGAACCCGCTGACCTGACGCAACTCCGTCTCTACGTTGGAAATCGCTTCCGTGAGTTAAATGATGATTATGGTTATGTTAATGATGATGATATTAAATGTAATGGAATTGATGAGGTGAATGGGTATGTAGATGGGATAAATTGAAGTGAAATTGGTATTTATATTTGGTGTATAAGAATATATATATATATGTATCGGTATATGCTGCGTTTGTGTGTGTGTATATGTATACACACATACATAATTGAAAAGAAATCACTTGTATGTCAATCAGTCATTATCTCTAAATCAGAAAGGTAACAAAACTATCAATCCATAAATAATACAATTAATTCAGTATATCTATATAGATAAATAAGTATATACATATATATTCAGTTATCGATGTATGTACACATAAATCTCACCGATTCAGCCACTCAATATCTCTTTTCGAATGAAATGCTCGTAAGCCTAACCCGACCCTCGTCTCCCCCCCCCCCCCCACAGCCCGCAAGAGCGCTCGCAACTTCTGGATCGGAGGCCACAGTCAGGACAAGATCTGGAGCTGGCTTTCCGGAGAATCCATCGACGACAGGTTCTGGCACACCAACGAACCCTCGGGTAACGGCGAGTGCCTGGGTATGTTTGACGGCTGGGAGGAGCCTCTGACGGACTTCCCCTGCGAGAATGAGAGGAGGGCCGTCTGCGAGAAGCCCCTGGTGAAGTAAAAGAGGAAAAAAAAAGGAGGAAGGAAGGGACGACGGAAGGAAGGAAGGAAGGAAAGGAGGGAGTGAAGTAGTTCGGAGGGAAAGGAAGGAGTCGAAACGGTTTCGAAAAGTGAGAAGTCGAAGCGGTTTCGAGGCAAAGGAAGTGAAGCGGTTTTGGCTTCAGGATTCGGGAGTAGGCCGTAGGATCATGTAGGTAGAACATGTTGTGGAAACATATGTTGTTCTGTTGGTGGCTATGACTCCGTGATGTATTCTGTTTCATGAATAAATACTTGTAAAATGGAAGGTCTTTTACTGGTTTTATAATGACGTGCTGTTTGATTTATATTGGTTTGAGGTATTTGAAATTGCTTACATATATTATGACGCACATACACATAACAGACGCAGATTGAGAGAGAAAGAGAGAGAGAGAAATGAGAGAGAGAGAGAGATAAAGAAAGAGAGAGAGAGAGGGGGGGGGGGAGAGAGAGAGAGAGAGATAGAGATAGATAGATAGATAGAGAGAGAGAGAGAGAGCACATACACATAACAGACGTAGACTGAGATAGATAGATAGATAGAGAGAGAGAAATAAGAAAGAAAGAGAAAGAAAGACAGAAAGATAGACATATAGAGTTAATACAAGAAGAATATTAAAATCCTTTGTGTACACAGAAGCTAGTAGGCTATGAAATATAATAATAAATATTAGGAGACGAAGTATAAACATATTTAGTCATACCATCAAGTGCATCTGTGACCTCCATAAGCCCCAGTAAGAACGTATTTATTATTAAGAATATATATTCATGTGTGTGTGTATTTATTCGTGTGTGTGTTTCCCTTCGCTTATTCTTCGAACTATTTTCATTTAAATCCCAAACTATGATATAAATCATTTCAGAGATAAATAATTTAGATTATTTCCAATGCGCCAAAAATTGAATTTATTTCCAATGTGGCAAAAAAATCAATTAATTTCTAATGTGCCAAAAAATCAATTTATTTCCAAAGCGCCGATAAATCCCAATGTATAAAAAAAAAAAAAAAAAAAAAAAAAAAAAAATCCGATTTATTTCTCATGCGCAAAAGATACGCTCGGTGTAATATATCGAGATATAGCTTGAATATCATAGATATCATATTATTTTGAAATATATATTGACTTTATTTCAAACAGTAACCAATTTCTTTTAGGAATGTCGAGCAACATAGATTATTCCGTTTACCCTGTTGCCAAACTGATCTTCAAAGGAAAATGAAAACACGTCATTCATATATGAAATTAAAAAAAGAACAGATAGAAAAGCATATTCTGTGTCTATCTGACTGTCAGTCAGGCTATCTGTCTGTTTGTCTGTCTGTCAGTCTGTCTGTTTTTTCTGTCAGTCAGACATTCTGTTTGTCTGTCTGTCAGTCAGACAGTCTGTTTGTCTGTCTGTCTGTGTCAGTCAGTCTGTCCACCTGTGTATGTGTGTCTGTCTCTCTTTAATATGATAATGATAATAATAATACTTATTTCGTACGCTCGTCTCTACCCCCCAAAAAAAATAAATAAATAAAAAAATAAAAAGAGAGAGAGACGGAAAAAAAAACACCAACAGCATATGACCTCAAGTCGAAAGGACCTTGTTAAACGGAACGAAATTATAAAGCCCTTGAGACAAGGTCCTTCCCTCCCTCGACCTCGTTTCGTAGAACACACACAGTTAAGGGCCGAGGGAAAGGTCAGAGGTAAGGCCAATCTCTCCACGTTTTTATTTGTCTCAACCCAATGCTCGCGGGTGGCAAGAATACAGTGCCATGTCCACTGTGATAAGAAGTTTATTGTCCTTACACATAGATGGCTCTGCAAGGGTTAGTCACCAAGGAGTCAGATATTAGTCTTATTTATCTCATCTGTTTTTACCCTTTTCCTTCATTTTTTTGTAAATTTCACTTCTATTATTTTTTTGTCTTTAAAGTTATTATTATTTTAGAAACAATTTAATAATCATAATAACAGTAAGAATGATAATGTCAATAATAGTAGTATTGGAAAGAAAAACCGCATTATCCCGCCAATTCAAGGAATGGAGAAATCAGGATCGGTCACTAAGGCCAACTGATAGACTCCTTGCCGGCTGAGCAAACGTGGAGCCATCTGTATGTAACAAAACTCACTAAAACCTAAAAGGGGACAGTAAATAAACCCGCTGACAATGGGTTAAGTCATCTCGACGAAGTGATGTCCAGAATCTATAACGAAGAACTACTTGTTTCGAGATGGCCTGTTTGTGTAAGTAGAGAACGTGCGTATTACAAGGCTGTTAAAGTCCTATAGATTTACGACAAACGAATCCTTGTAGTTTTGAGTTTGGGGAGGATTTTGAACCGAATTAAAGCGGAGAATTGAACAGAAAATAAATAGATAGATAAGTAGATATAACAAGCAGAAAAAAAATCTGATGCAAATAGGACGAGGCAGATCATAAGCTCTTGGAGAGGGAACGATCACTTAATAGCCCGAGAGCAAATAATCTAGAAAGCATTAGAAATACGGTACTCTTCTTATATACTTACGCAGCTCCTGCTGAGAACGCGCGTACGAACAATAGCTTATTATTTTTCACTTTTTTTTTGTGAACCTAATGGTACAGAGAATCATGGAGAGAAACGGAGAACAATAAAATAATAAAAAAAACTTGTGATTCTTTTAAACATACCTTAATTGAATGTCTTACCAAAAAAACGTGGAGGAATTTTATCTACTGTACTGTTCAGGGCCCATCCTCTCGCGTTTGCAAAGTACACAGTATATTCG